GAATAAATCATAATCTACGACCTCGAACACCCCCAGATACCAATTTTGAATGGAATCTGACCATAATTACAAAACTGCTGTGGAAAGGGACAGCACTCTGCCAGTTTCAATAAAGCTCCGCATGTCATTTTTCCTACAAGAGAGGAATGGACTGGCAATACACCAGGTTTGCTTCCTGCCAACGAATCAACCTGGTTCACGGATGGCTCAAGGTTTGGTGGCGGGTCTGGTGCAGAAGTATATGAAGGAGGAACAGGGAAAGGAATCTCAGTACCTCTTGGCAAATACGCTTCAGTGTTCCAGGCCGAAGTGTTTGCAATTCTGACGTGTGTCCAAGAAAATTTCGGCAGAAGTGGACGTGGACCAGTCAACATATATGCTCAGGCAGCAAAGCTGTTATTATGGCATTGAGATCCAATAGGATCACAACTAAATTGGTGTCCGAGTGTAGAAAGTGCCTTAGAAAAGTTAGCCTCATGTGGGCTCCAGGACACTCTGGTATCCCGCGGAGCGAGGAGGCAGACAGACTAGCCAAGATCGGTTCAGGAACGACACCCATTGGACCAGAACCGATATTGGGAATACCCAATAGTACGGTTATGTCCTTCATGAAGGAAATGCTACAGAGGCAGTTCCTTGAAACATGGCGGGACACACCAGGAATGAGACAATCAAAGCTCCATATAAAGGAACCTTCAAAAAGGCTCACGAGAGAGATCCTGTCACTTAATAGAAGGGATCTCAAGATGGTAGTTGGGCTCTTAACTGGGCACAACCACCTCAACAGGCACCTAGAACTCATAGGGATCAAAGATGATCACATATCTGCAGATGGTGCTTGGAGGATAATATGAAACATCATCACACATACTCACTGAATGCCATTGTACTGCACCCAAAGGATGTGAAAGCGACTCAGCTGAGGAAGCTGCTGAATTTCGTCAAAGAAATCGGCATGCCCAGCTGATTTACAAGACAAGTGCAGGGGTACGCACCCGCCCACCTGTGCAGAGTAGAAGAAGAAGAAGACAATAGAGAATTGATTGAGAATTCAAGTGATTTCGATTTCGACAACTTAACTCCTTCTACCTAGTCAAATGAAATAAATATCATACTTTTGTTGTAAAAAGCTGTATTTTTTCAGAGCATCTTGAATGTCGAGACAAAATCATCACATTAATCGAAAATCTGGCTGTTTTTTATATTTTCCATGTACGAGTATCAATAATTATTAAGCGTGTTTGACTTTGCATTAATCGATAGATATATTTCTCAAGTTCATTATTACTATTATGATTGTGATCTTCATGGTTGAGAGATTGAAATAATAAAGAGAGAAACTCATATTTTTTCAAGTGGAAAATAAACAGGAAGATGTAGGACATTGAATACATATTACATAATTTCGATGTCGTCGGAACGTAAGCAATGTGTGAGTTTAGTATAGTCTTTTCACCTCTAGTATATCACCGTAATTCTTTGACAATGGACCGTAACCAAATTATTGCATTGTGGATCGAAAAAGAATCTACTAGAATTCACTGGATTAATCCCATTAATACTCGCATTAACATTAGAAGAAACTAGTTCGGAGCATTTTATATGCTGTTTGTAGATTTGAGAAGAAACAAACATTAATCCTCAACTATTTTACTATATTCATTTCGACATTTGATAAACTGCACAATCGACTGAATTGCTTATATTCTACGTTCAGTAGAAATCCTAGGAAAAATATTTATAATAAAAACTTTAATCTATACACCCCTGCATAGGAATCTGTGTTAGACCGAAAGAAACCAGCCAGATATTTTTTCGTAGTGGTAGCGACGTACAACACCCGGCACCGTCCATACAATACTACAAACTACAATATTGAAATGAATTTCAGTTCAAATGAAATATGTCAGTTTAAAACGAAAGAATATCACTATGATTGAAAATGTGAGTAAATCCAGCTCCCTAATAACACAATTATGTCCCATGTATATCCTTAGGACGTCCTGTTTGGACATTCAGGACGTCCATTGGACGTTCGAATTTGGTGTCGTGAACGTCCATGGGACGCACAAATGTCCCACTTGAGGACCAACTAGGGACGCCCTTGAAGGGTGTCCCTGGGACAACTATCGAATACCTGAATCCTACAGTATTCCTCACCAAGCACTACGGAGGAAATCCTTAGAACATCCGTAGGACAACCTATCATCAATGCTGAGGAATTTCAATTAGATGTCCATAGGATGTCCCAGGAATGTACGAATTATTCTTGAATTTGAATTTTTCCGGGACTTCTAGGACCAGATCTTGCATAACTGATGAGGACATTCAGTTGAGTTGATGGTCCGTAGAAGTTCCCAGATAGATCCTGAAAAAGTTTACCAAGAATGTCCAACGGACTTACGTGAAGGACATTGACGGGGAGTATTTATAGCCTACGAGCAATCATTCGTCGGCGAGGTGTAAGTTAACGTCCTCGCAGGGCAACATATTGAAAGTACCGACTGGGATGTTATTTCAAAGACATTGGATGAGTGCAGTTCATGTACCAATTGGGAAATCCGACGGATATCCCTAAGGGACATTCAAAGGATGTCCCTAAGGGACATTTCGATTGTTATATGATCCTGGAAATATTAAGGGCGCCTGTGCAGAGATATTTGAAGGAATGTACTATCAGAAACATTTCAAGGTTGTCTAGAAGGGACATTATATAAGATCTGAAGTCATGCCAGAATATGTACTACTCGGGACATTCGATGGATGTCCCTAAAGGAACGATTGAAATCATATCCCATCAGGGACATGCCAAGGACGACCTTGCATGGACATTCCACAATATGTACCACATGGGACGTCTGAGGGATGCTTTTCCTAGGACATTTGAAATGATGTACCAGCTGGGACATTCCGTGGACGTCCTTGCTCGGACATTGCATAAGATGTACGGGATGGGACGTCCCAAGGACACTTATTTTTGGTCCAGGACATTCGGACTTGAATTGTACCAAATAGGGACGTCCCTATGACGTTGTGTGCTCTTAGGGAGGTCACTCGTATCTCAAATTCGATAATATATTATTTATAAAGCTGTTTGATAGGTTTGGTATATTTATTGAAAAAACTTGAAATAATTGATGGGTAATTTCGTTGAGAGTAGACAATTTCGTCAATTTTTATCTCAATTTTCAATCATCAACGTCACGATACTGAATATTCTGGGGTGATTAATCAGCAATAGGCAACATTATGGAGTTTTTAGAACTGACGTTTTTTTTATGGAAAATTTGTATAGAATTTAGTGTCCCATTTACGAGTTCAAAGAAACCTTGACTATACATCCTACTAACTTTTTATGGAAAAGTTGTGTATTGGTAGTGAATTTAGGTGGTAGTGAATTTAGGGTCCCATTTACGAGTTTAAAGAGGCCTTGACGTTTTGACTACATGGCCTACTAATTCCAATTATCACTTTCCGAAAACCATAATAAATTATGCTAAATTCTCGAACTGCCACTTTTAGCTCGTTTGGAATAATAGGTATAGGCCATTCATGGGCCATTCCAGTAATTAGGTTGTAGCCTACTATTCACAAGCCATGACCAGGTTCAAGCGTTATTTCCTCATTACCGTGATACCTTTAGGAGGTAAGTGACTGATATAAACAAACATGAGTAATATGACGTCACCTTGTGGTCATCTACTGACGTGAAGGGAATGTCAATAAAACGTTTGAATTTGGAACACATTGAACCTGATTCTGGTATTATCAACGATAGGCAATATGCGGCTTCTGTCATCAGAGATCAACTGGTGACCTGCTTGGTTACGTCCCACATATATGGCAGCAATCTATTGACAATAATGGTGAAACCTTAGCAGTGGCATTTGATATCTCCAAGGCATTCGATCGAGTCTGGCACCACGAACTCCTCGCCAAGCTTCCATCTTATGGCTTGCCTTCCCAGCTATGTTCTCTCTGCTAGCTAGTTTTCTCTCAAACAGGTCTCTCGATGTAGTGGTCGACGGAGTTTCATCTGACTCTCTTATCATAAATGCTGGTGTTCCGCAAGGATCAATTCTAGCACCAACACTATTTTTACTCCATATCAACGATTTGTTGGAAGCAACTTCATGTCCAGTACACAGCTTCGCGGATGATAGTACCCTCCATACCGCCTTCTCTTCCAGGGCTCCAATTCCAGCAAGGTGAATCAGAAACGAACGAGGGAGAAATGTTGACAACATAAATATGGACTTGGCAATTCTCGAATGGGGATCCAATAACTTGGTAGATTTCAATGCAATCAAAACACAAGCATGTCTTTTCTCTAGAAAAGCCGATCTCACTGTGCCCAACATAAGCTTGTCAGGAGTAACCATACCTTTGAAGACATCCATTTCGATGCTTGGGACAACTATCAGCAATAACCTTTCATGAGAAAATCACGTGAGATCAATTGTGAATTCGTCTCGTGGGTGATGCCTCGCTCACAAACTCACTCACTTCTCTGGAACACCGTAGAAAAGTTGGCGATCTGGCTCTATTCTATATATATTTTCATGGACGCTGCTCTTCTGAAATATCAATTATTCTTCCTTCCTTGGCAGTCCCCGCGAGGTTAACCCGTCGAGTTGAGGCTTTGCACCCCTTCGTGGTCACTTTGGAGACTTGCAGAACATCTCTTTCCAAAGACTCGTTCATCCAACGAACAGCAAGGCTCTGCAACACATTGCCAAGGAGGTGTTCTCCGTGGCATATAACCTCCAGAAATTCAAGAAGAACACCAATTCCTACCTTATTTCCCTTGGTTCTCACGATGTTCTCTGAACATTACGTGATATCCCTTTTCGTGGGAACCACAACATAAAAAAAGAGTGATTATTATGATTATGAGTATATTATGGTTTTTCCTATACTCAACAATATAAAAGCTACAACTGTTCAATTGTGCTTTTGATAACAATATGATAATAACTATTGTATTTCTGTTTTTCAGGAAAATGTCGCTGAATGAAGTACTTTTGCTGTTTCTCTTCACCACTTTAACAACAAGTCAAAATAATTTCAACAACCAAGGAGTTGGAGACAACAGAAATGATGATTGTTGTGAAGATTACTGCTACGGAACAGATGAGGAACCGTATTTAAACTTCGCCACCAAAACTGCTTACGATAATCTCAATCATAGGAGGAGCGAATCTCAACATCTAATACCAGGTTTGAAGAAAATATAGTATTTGTGTACTTTGAGACTGGAACACCCTTCTTTTTCCTAATGGGGTTCAGCACCTCAGCACCCAAACATAAGCTGATGCTCTTCAATTCCATACAGCCATTTACGAGCCATTTACTTTTCTATATCTCTGCGCTACCATTCCATCAATCACAATACTAGTCAGATATCCACTCGATAAACTCAGGCAACACATCTTTCCGTCATCAATCTCGAAATATATCGAACAATTCCCCAACAAAACTCTTTTGTCTATCGTCAAAGCTTCCAAATTCTTTCCAAAGGAAGACTATTCATAAGAACTTAAAATTTATTTCGAAAAAAAAAATGATCCAAACCTACCTTACTTCCCAATCCTCCCTAGGTACACTCGATTTTCTTCCGTGCGCTCCAAAAGACGAGAAAAAGGCGAAAATAATGTTAGCAATGAAGAGCAAATGCAGCTCCAACTCATGGCCAACTCCCAAGGACGTTGCCAGAGAGGGGCAGGGTGGAGCAGCTGTCTTCCCCCCCCCCCCTAGAGGTTCACACTCTCCAGTCACCCTGCTAATTAAAACGCCTGTTTCATTCATCACATAATCTGACCAATTCTGATTGGTCTATAAACGTTGATGTTTTCAACAATGTAACCATGGATAGTAAAGCGAAGACTGTCAGTTTGACATGAAATAATTATGACTGTACTTGTCAGAATGAATCATTAATTTATAATAAATGCTTCATATGCTTAGTGAACGAGAAATAGTCTAGAAAAGCCGATCTCACTGTGCCCAACATAAGCTTGTCAGGAGTAACCATACCTTTGAAGCCATCCATTTCGAAGCTTGGTATCACTATCAGCAATGATCTTTCTTGGGAAAATCACGTGAGATCAATTGCTGAAAGTGCATCTCAAAAACTTGGTTTTCTGTTTCGGGCCAGGAGCTATTTCACTTCCAGTCAGCTGCTCATGATCTATCAGGCACAGATCCGACCTGTGAATGCGCGCAGCACCCAAACATACCCTGAAACTGTTGGATTCTGTCCAGAGAAAGGCAATAATTCGTCTAGTTGGTGATGCCCCGCTCACAAACTCACTTCTCTCGAACGCCGTAGAAAAGTTGGCGTACTTGCTCTTTTCTATTTTCATGAATCATGCTCTTCTGAAATATCAACAATTGTTCCTCCCATGGAAGTCCCTGCGAGATTAGCCCGTCGAATTGAGGCTACGCACCTCTTCGTGGTCACTTTGGAGACCTGCAGATCATCTCTTTCCAAAGACTCGTTCATCCAGCGAGGCTCTGGAACACATTGCCAAGGTAGGTGTTCCCCGAGGTATATAACCTCCAGAAATCTAAGCAGAACACCAATTCCTTCATTTCCCTTGGTTCTCACGATGTTCTCTGAACATTACAGGATATCCCTTCTCGTGGGAACCAGAACATAAAAAAAAACATACCACTCTGTTCTGAATATCTTCCCATGATTTTGTCTTTCATTGTTAATAACTCAATTGTGTTGCCGTGAAGCAATCCCACTCGCCCTGACGGACTCGTGATGTTGGTCGGTAACACAATTTCGTAAACAATGAAGCGACAGAATTATCTGGAATATTCAGAACATCGTGATATTACTTATGATAACGCTCACTTTGAGCCAAGAACTTCGGAAAGCAGATTTTTCTCCTGAAATTAAGAAGGTTTTGGGAATTCTTGTTGCTTTACCTCGTGAGACTTGTACGGTTGAAAGGTATTTAGTAGCCTTATGAGAATCAAAACCTGGTTGAGGAGCACCATGTCTGGAAGCTCGACTCAATGGTCTCGCAATGATGAGTGTACACAGGCAACATATTTTCAAAATCTCGAACGATTTCGTCAACAAAGTGACCAACGAATTTGCAAAGAACCCTAGTAGATTTTATTTCAATTGAGATTATTTTTAATTGATTTACTATAAGGATTTTTCGCCATGAGACCAAGACTAAGACTGATCAAATTGTTGATTTGTGCGTATAAAATGAGCGAAATAAATTTCTCCTATTATCATAAGAATATAATTTTTAAGAAACCTTGAATAAACATCGAATGAGACCCAAACGGCAAACAGGCGAACGCCCGACAGGTCAGAAAAAAGATCCAATAGGGTCGGAACTGACAACAACGCATTATCAAAATATTTGAAAAAATTTCAAACCCAAACCTAATAACTTTTGAATTAAATTTGTTTCTATCTTCAATAGGAGGAGGTACGGACTACTGTGACCTTACAACATACACCTAAGTATTTGTTGTAAACTTTAAAACTGCGATACTGAATTTGACAATTATATTTCGGATTTTGAGTGAACAAAAATTTTGTACCTACCATATGACAAATGAATAACTGAAGTGAAATGCCATTACATTTTCCATCAGATTTCTCTCAATATTGAGTAGATTTGAATTCATTATATTTCTTTCGAGACCAAGACCAAGACTCTTGGGAGAGAGTCTTGGTCTTGGTCTTAGTTTTGATCTCGAAAGTCAAGTCTTGCTCTTGGTTTTGGGAAGATTCATTAAGAGACTGGACTCGTGGTCTCGCGAAGCTCCAAATATGATATTTAAACGATGGTGTGGGAATAGGTACCAATAAAAAATTTCTCTGCTCTGTATGAGCCAAATTACTCATGATATGCCATTTTTGGTAGAACTCTCCCAATCCACCACGTACATACCTATATCTGTTAGATTCATTTTGCTTGTGGATTTGCTACGATATCTTACTACAAAACGCAAAGAAAATCCAATATGGCGACAATTTCCTTCCAGAGCAGAATATATGGTTAGGTTATATTATGGGATATGAATTTTAGAATGCACTGCAGTACAGTTTTGGAGTTTGATACGACATGGAACCAGATTACCTGATGTCGAAGAGATAAAAAATTTCCGGGGCTTGAGTAGACTGCACGAAGAAATCGCCAAAAACTACCATGACAGAAGATCGTATCCAGATAGGGGAAGGTTATGTCCCAAGGATTATGAACTATTCATCAGGTAACAACATCTAACAATGAAGGTGTCATTATATAAGTTGAGTTGAAGAATGATTCCGATGTGAGAATAAGTCGCGTGCACAATGACCGACCCTGGAGGCAAAATATTGAAACACAACCTCATTCTTCTGTGAATTATTGAAACACAACCTCACTTTTTTATTTGGTTACAGAAGAATCGAAAGATTGAAATAGTTTTTCACAATATTTTGGCATACGAATCGTGTTTTTTGCTCTATTCATTGATTCGAGCATTCCTTCGCATTGTGCTGTTGTACAATGCACAAAAAAATGCAGCAAGAGACTAAAGAATATGATTTTTCAGGTGAATAGTAATCTCACATAGTTATCATTATGAAATGTTGTCATTCCCTATTGAAATTCCTTCTGTCTTCTGCCACTTCTGCAATACAAGCTAATACTGCTAATAGATTGAAAATGTCTACAACACACACGATCGTCACCATGTCAGACCAGTCCTCCGGATTGATTGCATGAATCCAATCTTCATGCATTGTTTTTGAAATTTCAGGTGTATTTCTATTAGCTCCCATCGCAGAAGGAATTCCGATGAGAAATCAGAGAAATTACCAAATTTCAAAAAAGAAAACTATATGTGAGTGACTATAGTGGGTACTTACTTTTAATCATAATGTACCAACCGGATTACTGCGTCTTCCGCTGCAGTTTTTGTGCATTTCACAACAGCATAATGTGATGGCATGAGCGAATTGATGAAAAGCGGAAAAATACGATTCGTATGCCAAAATAATTGTGAAAAACTATTTCCATCACTTGTAAACAAATAAGAAAAGTGACGTTGTGTTTCAATGTTTTGCCTCCAGCGTCGGTCATCTGACAGTTCTTGCACGCAACCCATATCGTTGTATTGAACATTTGTTGGTTAGATGATATGGATTACATGAAGTGATTTGATTGATCCTTTTTGAATAGTCTACTGATGATTTGATTGAAAATTGAGTCGTCAGTATATGAGTCCCCCCTTCTATATCTCAGCTATTGGACGTGCGATTTCAACCGTATGAATAACTATGAATATACAGGGTGTGTATAAATGACACCGAAGAAATTCAAGGGGTGATTCGTTGTGATATTTTAGGAAATGAAGTTCATATAAACTTGTGTCCTAACTTGCTTCGTTTTCGAGATACAGGGTTTCAATATTTCCATGAAAAATCGTTTTTTAATTCATTACTCAATTGTCTTTTCATCAATTTCAATAAAACGTTGTGATTTTGTTAAAAGTAGTATGGAACTTCTTCTGGTGCAATTGAGCTCGAAATAATATTTCCAGTGGCGTCACAGTGGGTGAATTTATCGATATCTATGATGAATGTCATTGTACGCCACCGTTTTTTCATATAGTTCATATCTTTATCAGATTGAACTATTGAAATAACAACTTTTTCATCCTTTCTCTGATATTTGTACACCAAGGTAGTGAAGAATATCAGTATTACCCAGGGACCAATAAGATTATATCCCGAGGCTTCAGCCGAGGGGTATATGGTTCTGCGGTAATTATATTCTTTAATACCAAGGTGTATACTAAATTTTTTTCACCACTAGCAATACATTTCAATCATTTTCACTATGAAAGTACCTCTTTTCAATTCTAATTATAATCTAGTAGCCGTGACCATGACAGCATAATATGACAAGTCGTTATTGATAAATACCTTCTAGCCCTTACACTCCCAAGAATAATTTGGAAAGTATAGCCGAAATTTCTCTGGCAAGTGTGACTCAGAGTTACCTCAGAAACTCCCTGAATTTTTTTCGAATTTTTTCAGGATGATGTAATATTATTTCCAGGACCCTCACAATCGTGTTATTTGGTAGTGAAATGGGATTTCAACTCGGAATGAAGAAAACGCAAATTATGGAGAAATATGCATTTATTGTTTATGTTTTGTTATGAAAAGTGACGAAACAATTATTTTCATTGTTCAAGCACAGGCATAGGCGTACATTGTAATTTTAACACCTCGTCCTTGAACGGCTCCCGCAACTTTCCAGTCAGCCAGTACGTGGTGATTTCGGAGAATCAATGACAGGCCAGTGGTCAATTTCATCATATCGTTTGTCATTTGTTGAATTAGAAGCTTCTCTATTTGCAAGAAGAACGGTTGGTTAATTGGCATTTTCTGGATGGATCAACAAATATTCCTCCAGCACTTCTACCTGTTCATGTGCATTCACCTCCCACTGGTCATCTTAATCGGACTCGATTTCCATATTTAATCTGATCCAACAATTCGTAAATTTCATCTTGATCTTTTTGCAACTCAAAATTTTTGGAATGGAGGACAGTTTTGACACACTGGAATGTTTAAATCAAAATCGATAATGGTCATTGATCTATAGCGGTACGCTCTCGGAGCACACAAATGTGATGGTACACAAGTATGTTCTGAAATCTGATCCCGAAAAAATTTTGGAAACAGCCACTGTGAACCACCATGTTGAATCATGATTATATTTGTCATTCAATGCATAAAATCATTCACAATATCATATATAGTTGATGTTTTTGATTCACTCATCTTCAGGAAACATTTTTCAGTGGAGACCAATTGCACCACACAATGATTTATTTTTTTACGCCTCCTGAAAATAAAATAAGCAGCAAAAACGGTTTGTTCTGTGCAAATAGAACACTCACAAGTATAGTGACTGGTTCTCAATACAGCAGAATGATATTTTGATCCTTATAAATCACTTAGATAATGCCCGTACAATTGTGAGGGTACGGAGCGTAAGGGCTAGATTCGAGTGCCATTAATGGGAATCAGGCATCAGAACAGTGAATTCAAGTTAATTTATTTATTCATTTATTAATTTGTTCCAAATTTTGGATACTAACAGGTTGTTACCCATACAAGCATCCACTGATACAATCAGTTGAAGAGCTGATAACATTCATGTCTAAACAATTAAAAAAAATACACCTAATTACATAGGAGGTATATGAAAATGAAATATATTCGATACGGGAAAAATAGTAAGCGTTCTCATTTATGTTTACTAATTCCTTATTTTCGTGATATTATATAAAATGGTTATTTTTGTATCTAGAGCGCGAAATGCTACTTTGGTGATCAATCAAGATATGACATAGTCGAAATGACCAAAGTATTTAGCACTCGAGTTGGCAAACAGAATTTTTTCTACAAACGTCAAAAAATATAGTTCTAATGTGAAAATATGCTTAGCTTGATGTAGAAAATAGTGTTGAACTGGCTAAAAAGGCCTCCCCCTATCCTCCCTAGGTACACACAACGCTCCACGAACATGATAGGAATTTCCTTTCGTGCGCACCAAGAGATAAAACAAAGTTATTGTTGAACATTCAGAAATAAAAAATGATTTCGTGGATGTTTGCTCGATTGAGGACCATAAAATTGAAATATAAATATCTCATATATTTTACATAACAATGCGCGAAGTAGGTACTTCGCTCACTGTTTTACTTCGCGCATTATTTTGTGCAAGGTATCATGGTAACGTAATAAACTGAAAAAAGGGTCACTTCGCAAGTTGTTATCAACGCGCGAACCATGTTATTTTTTGACGTTTGTAGAAACATGTTTTTTTAAAATTATTTCAATGGAATATATGGTCATGGAAAAAATATTTACATCACTACAATTATAACAGAAGTGGGGTATGTCTTCATTGAGAGGTGGTCAATAGAATGAAAAACTACCTTGGTAGTGAAAACACATTTTATTCCTCGAAAAGGATTAAATAATGGTAGGTTTTATAGCTAGTGGCCGATTGACCCCCTCTCCACGGACCCCCAAATGTATGTTTTCATCGCTGCTTGTATATTTGGATAATTTTGATATTTATTTTGGTACTTCGATTCACAGATGGCGCTTCAATGACAGCATTTCCGAGAGCAAAGCGAACTCCCTCACAAGTCAAGGCATGGAAGACATGAAGCAATTAGCGAGACGATTCAAATGGAAGTACCCACAACTGTTTCAAAGTTATGATGAACGTTCTTATAACGTAAGTAACTATAGGTGGAAGGGGGTTGGACCTAGATAATCCCATCACATAGGTATATAATATACTTACAAGGGTGAGGCATGTAGTACTCATCAAAATGAACCAATTCACCAGAAATTACCTGCACAAAAGTTGCAGAATGACGAATTAATTAATTTTGTTATTACGGACCTGGCCTGGTCGCTATTTCAGTCTGATTCACTATATTCAGTCATCGAATATCAACTTTCAGACACGTTGATATTCGATGATTCAGTCAATGGTCAACAGAACAGTTTATTCCAATCATTCGTAGGTAGGTGATTTTCATTTCTTTCTATCGTTTTTTTAATGCATTTATTAAACAGCTGTTTTCGTGACCAGGACCGAAATATGATCAATTTCATCTTTGACTTTTATCGTCGATATTTTCTAATTTATACATTGGCGCTTTTTAGTTAAATTGTTTATTATAGTGATTTCTTCCTTACCACGAAGTACTTTCTTTAATTTTCTCCGTTTTTTCTCCATTTTTCCCCTTCTTCTGGTTTTTTCTTTCCCCTATTCGCAAAGTCAAAGAACAAGTTTGTCGAACTTTCACACAATTTCATTTCATGACATGATTCTGTTCTTCCTTTCCATTTTTGTCTGAAGATTGTGAAGACAAACTACTTACCTACTTCCACTATTTAGAAAAAATTGAATATCTTGATTTATACATAAATAATCAACTTAGGGAAAAAGTAGGGCCCTATCGATGTCTTGGGTTTCCTCGTCATCATGTTTTTCATGTTATATTCAGGAAAACCGTCAATGATATTTAATTTATGTACAAGTGTAGACAAAACTCGGAAAATTGAACTATTAAAATAATCTTGCAATTCAAGAACATCCATAATTTTTGTGGATATCTTATGAATATCCATAAGATATCTACTGATGGATATCCATTTCAACTCCTTCGATGGATATCTTATAGATATCCATTCCAAATCCAGAAACATAACGAAATATATATAGGTATTCCGTCAATGGTTTAGTTCGTATACAAGTGTGGAGAAAACTCGGAAATTTGAACTATTGAAATAATCTTGCAATTTAAGAACATTCATTATTTTTGCGGATATCTCATGTATATCCATATCCATAAGATATCTACTGAAGGATCTCCATTCCAAATCCTTCAAATGAATATCTTATATGTCCATTTCGAATCAAGGGATATCTCGAGCAGAGTTAGTCATGAAATGGATGTCCATAGGATATTCAGTGTGAACAAAACTCGAAAAATTGAACTATTAAAATAATCTTGCAATTCTAGAACATTCATAATTTTTGTGGATATCTTATGAAAATAATAAGATATCTACTGAAGGATATCCATTTCAACTCCTTCGATGGATATCTTATGGATATCCATTTCAAATCCAGAAACAAAACGAAATATATAGGTATTCCGTCAATGGTTTAGTTCGTATACAAGTGTGGAGAAAACTCGGAAATTTGAACTATTAAAATAATCTTGCAATTCAAGAACATTCATGAATTTTGCGGATATCTCATGGATATCCATGAGATATCTACTGAAGGATCTCCATTTCGAATCCTTCAATGGATATCTTATTATGTCCATTTCGAATCAAGGGATATCCCGAGCAGAGTTAGTCATGAAATGGTTGTCCATTCGATATTCAGTGTGGACAAAACTCGTAAAATTGAAATATGTATTAAAATAATCTTGCGATTCAAGAACATTCATAATTTTTGTGGATATCTCATGAATATAATAAGATATCTACTGAAGGATATTCATTTCAACTCCTTCGATGGATATCTTATGGATATCCATTTCAAATCCAGGAACAAAACGAAATATATAGGTATTCCGTCAATGGTTTAGTTCGTACAAGTCTAGAGAAATCTCAGAAATTTGAACTATTAAAATAATCTTGCAATTTAAGAACATTCGTTATTTTTGCTTCATCATGAAATGGAAGTCCATAGGATATTCAGTGTTGTCTGGGTAGATAATCCCATCAATCAGGTATACAGGGTATGTCAGTCGGGAGAAATCCATGCATGCTCATGTTTTAGAATACGCTCTCTTCATTCGAAATATTTTCGACAATGCAGTATTGCCGCTTCTACTAGAAAGTTGTAGCAACATTGATTTTTCAAATGAAACACCCTTTATTACATCGCATTCTTAGATTCTCCCTGAAGAGTTGATTTTATCGATATATCACACTTGGAGTTCATCGAAAAAGATTACCGAGATATAGGGCGAGATTTTTAAACTTTACGATTTTTTTGTGCCAAAACCTTTCATTACCGGTCAAAACGGCTCACATGTCCCTAACCCAACTTTCAATTCACTATTTACTGATAATTATTCGAATACAGGGTGGTTCAAGATTCAGGATTCTGATCACGATAACGATCACAATGTCCTTAGAACATAATAGGGATCCCCTCTCATACGTTCCGAAAAATCAAAAAAATCGTGATTCTACAATATTATTTTGTTTCAGTTCCAATATTCGAGTGAAGACAGAAGTCACGATAGTTTTCAAGCATACGCTGAAGGACTTTTTGGAAGTGACGCTTACAGGATTCACTCCAATACTATCAATGCAAAGGATTTAACCAAGGTAAACGAAAATCAGATTATACTAGGTGTTTATGAATTTGTAGCGATGAATGAAATGAGTTGATATTTGAGAAATAACGGCATGAATAACTATTATTGAGAGTCCATGGTCATGCCATAGAATTTGAGTCTTTGTTTATATTATGTTAGTTCCTTCAACTCACCTCATACCTACCAGGTGACTCATCGAAAACGTTCCACCCAAGTTTTTTCCGTTGTGATGCAATCAATGAAAAGCCGCTCGGACAGGTCGATTTCAATTCGACGAAGAATGAGTCTTCTGTAATTGGCGAGTGGACTAATTTTTTTTTCATTTCCTAAATAGAATCATCACTCAAATACCTTTCAATGTAATATTTTTTCAGAATTTTTCGGTCGATTTTAAGTTGCTCAAATCATCAATAATGCCAAGGTTATTTTCAAACGGCTAGAGATTTACCGCAAGTGAAAACTGACGTGACGATTTCATAAGTAGGGGCAGACCATAGCATTATCCTAATTCGTAAATTCTCAATTATGAATTTGTAATATTCCTGATTAGCGATAAAAAGACATAATGGTCTCAAAATTCATCCTCATGTGTTGTGGCTCATTAATGATAATGCAAATGTTCCAATAATAATTATATTGATTCACATTCGAACTGGTAAACGTGACAACACGACGCACGAATTGTGGGCGAAGTCTAGTCGATTCTCAGCATTCAGCACAATGTTGCCAAGTCTCGAACATTTACATGATATTTTGTTATGGAGTATAAGAAATATTTGGACATGCTGGTTGCTCGAAAAAGTCAAGAATGAACCATAATATCATGACTTCTTCGTATTATGTATTCAACGACAGGACTCCAACATGTTTCTGATAACTTGATTAATATTGGTGACCTGACAACCTTGCTTCATGAGTGGAAATGGTAGATTATCTGACCAATAACGAAACAGTATAAAGACTGACGTCACTATTTATTCGACGTATCGCCAAATGGCGGCCATGAAGGTTCGTTTGCAATGAAAATTCAAAGATTTTGAACAACGCAGACTCATTATTTAAATAGAAAAAATCGTGAAAAGTGTTACGAAAATTAGTTTAGGTCCCTAACGACACAGTGGAGTAATTGAATGACAATAATTCATTATATTCCGAAATTGGGAAATTGAAGCAGAACGGGCATTAAATTTGGATTCCTAAATAAAACACCATTTCATTCAATAACCGTTTAGGAATAATGATCACGAATCTAACAATAGTGAGTTTCATATTCAATGAAGAAAGCACGAAGTCATCTCCACAACTTTTTAATTTTGAAACATCAGATTAAGAACATGTTCCGGACATACATAATGTTCATCTTCAGCCTATCATGAGAAGTCCTACAATACAAGGAGAGACATTCATAAAATGAATAGAAACATTATAAATAGATAGTATTAACATGGGTATGAAAAAGGTCATGTTACATTTCAATTCAAGACAAAATTTAAATTAAATGATAGGGTTTCTCATAGTGGTCCCAACGCCCAAAGGGTGAACAATAATGGAGGTCGACAGGGTGGCTCAACCAGCACCAAACTGAAATTAATTAAGTGGAGGGGATAGCAGTATCTGTATGTGTGAGTTTGCCTTCTCTTCATGCCACCCTAGACAACATAAATTCGCAGCTCTCTTGAAATTTCCATGGACCACTTAAAGTTCAATAATGAACATCATTGAACAATTAGGACACAACGATGGCTTTCCACCACATTTAATCGAGAGAATTGACTACAGACGTCTACAAAAATCTATATATAAATCAAAATCTGGTACCATTTCCTAACCCTAGGAATCAATTTTCTTTCATGTCCTTTTTAGGTAAAGTCTCTTTTGACATCAAAAATATCTTCCATCATTTTTCTCATGATATTAATGTTTCTCTCCACACTACTGATTCTATAGCTATAGCTCCTTGGTGTTTCCAATGATCAAATTCCTCTTCTATATAAATCCGGGAGTTCACAAAATCAATCGTTCTGAATCCAATTGCGACCCACAATATATTTGACAGAGTGGAAGAAGGATTCTGGCTAGAGTGAATGAGCATTATCAAAATCATGGAGAAATCCAATAATTTGCAACGGAATGATTTCAATACAAATAGTTCATTTGCCAATCATGTTCTCAATCTCAAACATTCATTTGATATTGAAAAAGATTCAGAAGGTCAACATGTATGTCAGAGAGGCCTCCTTTCGAATTTACCAGGAATTTTTGAAAATATTTTTGGGATTATCATCCGCTTTTGAACTCCAAATATAAGAAATAATCAGAAATATAACATTTCTAATGCAATTTTATTAATTTGATTGACAATATTCGAAAAACAAAACTTATTATTATTTTTCATAGCAACAGTATGAAATACTGAATGTTTGATATAGACACAATGCTTCATACATTAGATAGAGCTCAAACAAATATTACGTTCCTGAACAATGACAATGATATTTCTCTCAATGAGGATACCCACTTGTCAACAGTTTCTCACTCAAACTTTCCTCCACCTCGGTCTACGACAATGATATTGATAATATGTTTGTCATTATTATGTTAATATTCACTGATGGTGTAATACAGCTTCTTGTTCGATGTTTTGTGTAGCTCTGTCATTAGGCTGTGTGTTATTACTGATATTTGACTTCTGACAGCTGATGGTTGGACATGGTCAGACAAGGTCAGACATATCGTGCTGTAGAGTGTAGAAACCAGGTTCTGACGTATATCCTTTGACGTTCCCTCCCGCAGAAGATGGCGTTCTGAGAGCAGGCCGAATTTTTATGAAGCGAAGGCAAACCCACACATATAGATACTGTTATCCCCTTTTCTTCAATTTAATTAATTTTAGTTTGGTGCTGGTTGAGCCACACTGTCGACCTCCATTATTGTTCTCCCTATGGGGGTTGGTACCCCTATATAAAAATCCTATACAATTTCATTTTTATTTTTGTCTTGAACTGAAATGGAACACAACCTTTTTCATACCCATGGGATAGGTATCTATTTTTGTTTTTTTTATTCATTTTAGGATGTATCATCTTGTATTGTAGAACTTTTCATAATATGCTGAAAAGTGAAAATGGACATTGCATGTGTCTGAAACATCTTCCTAATTTGATGTTTTCAAATTAGAAAGTCGTGGATATGACTTCGTGATTTTTTCATTGAATATGAACCCTATCTCTCCACTTTGAGGTTCAATGGATTTCTACCAACGTTTGAATAGTAAATTTGATGGGATTATCTCGAACGACTACGGAGATATCGCTGATTGATATCTCAATACTGTTCATGAGTGTGACGGAAAAATTTTTGCTGGCAGAGTTACCGGTTCGAACCATATTATACAGGGTGTATCAAAATAACATCGAAAAAATTCAAGGGGTGTTTCCTTGTGACATTCTAGCAAATGAAGTTTACATGAACATATGTGTCCTAACTTGCTACGTTTTCGAGATACAGGTTGTTGAAGTTGGAAGTATTATTTGTTTCCATTTATAACCCCCCTGTATAGGCTTTCATTGTGCCAAAATTCAGTACAGATGGAGACTGAGAAAACCCTGAAATTTCAAAATGATTATTCTAATTGGGGCTATTGAGTAATTTCAATAGAAGTCTTGAAAACACCTACATTAAAATTTTGAGTCAAATCGAATCTTTATTGTTTCTTCAAGAACTAAGCTAGATACAAAAATCATACAGAGAATAAGAACGATGTTATTTCAATAGTTCAATCTAATAAAGATATGAAACTCAAGAAAACCGGTGGTGTACAATGACATTCACCATGAATATCTATGAATTTATATACGTACTGTGACGCCACTGAAAATATTATTTCGAATCTAATTGCACTAGAAGGAGCTCCATATTACTATTAGCAAAACTACAACGTTTCATTGAAATTGATGAAAAGACAATTGAGAAATGAATAGAAAAAATGTGTTTCATTTGAAAATTAATACCCTGTATCTCGAGAACAAAGCAAGTTAGGACACATGTTTATATGAACTTTATCTCCTAAAATATCAGGAGGAATCACCCCTTGAATTTTTTCGGTGTTATTCACATACCGGGTGTTACAGGACCAGGGTACACCAAACCATTTTGATGAACTTAATTTGGTGCTAAATCAAGAAACTTCGAATTTTTCACACTTCGAAAATGCAATGATATACAGGGTGTTCCATGTGAAAATCGAAAGTTATCACCACTTCCTATGAAACCGGAACTAAAAAATGCAACATGTTCATGTCAAAACATGACGTTTATACAGTTGATGGGTCATTCCAAATTCCAATCACTCACCTCCAAAACTAAAGGAGAAAAAAGGGGTGTACCATAAATCTGTTACACCCGGTATACTGTATGATTTCTATGGTTCGAACCGACCTCTCTGTGTCCCACTCATAGATCATTTTAAAAAAATCAATCAGTTACCTATCTCCGTAGTCGTTTGGAAAACCCCATCAAACTTGGTATTGTTGGATTTGTAATCATAATCATAAACCGATTATGAAATGAGATACAGGGTGTTCCATTTGATAATTGAAGTTGATGCTCGTTCCGCTTCAAGGTTCTAACTTTGCGATATGATAATTATTACTGTAAAATGTTTCCCCTGCCGAATTGAAATCAACCTGTCCAAGCAGTTTTTCGTTTGCATTACTTATTGGGTCGTGGAACGTTTTCGATGGGGCCACCCGGTATAATCTAGCGATTACGGCGATGGTGATACTGAATAAATACTAAAACAATAATTTTCATTACCTTCAATCGATTCACTTCTTGTTTTTTGTTTCACTTCATCAATTAATATATCATCTGCAATATTCACCTACTCACTACTCAGTAAACAATGTTCCCAAGTTATATTATGTAGGTGTAGTTCCCTTTATATGGACCTTATGATACAATCGGTAAAAAACCACCATTAATTAGTTGTAAATAAGGATATTCAGGGTT